GGGGTATGTGTTTGTGTGAGTGGGGAGGGGGGGTGTCTTAAATCTAGAGCTCTTTAAGTGGTGAGAGGAAAGCTTCATGAGTTGAGCAATTTAAGAGTCAGATTGTGCACTTGTGACGTATGTGAGTTCCGGGTCGTTCAGCTACTTATAAGCCGGTACATTTGACCGATCTGACGTTCACACCAGACCCACAGGCTCGTTGCTCACGATTGTCACACTGAACATGAAGTGCTTCCTCCTGACATTCGTTGTCCTTCTCGGGCTCTGTGCTGGTGAGTTGTAATGATAATAATAATGATAATAATAATAAGTGCCTAAGAACCCCTTAATATAAATTGTTTACTTTCGTCTGACCGTACTTAAAACAAGGAAAATCGCTATGTTTAATCTTCTCAGATCTTTGGAGGGGGCTCTCCTGGTCGAGATGTTACGGTGTTCGCCTCACATTCCATTGGAGTCGCGTTTGAAACCTGATAGCGACTGACAATTTTCTTCTCTGAAATAGTTATCTCCTTTTACCTCCTTTCCCGCTCCCTAACTATGTTCTTTCGTCTGCTTTCTTCTCTCTTTCTGCCCCTTTCTCCTAAACCCTTTGCCCCTCCGGCCCCCCTCCCCTCTTCCCCTTTGCCCTCTCCTCTAGGCTCCTGAGTCTTTCTGCAGCCTTTCTACTGCCACTCCTTGGCACCTTCTGACTGCAGTATTTCAGCCACACCCCAGATCTTATGGTAGGAAAGATCTACATCTAGCCTTCTTGGACAAGAGCGAAAAATCTCAGAGGTCACGTGTGCAAGTTGCGCACGTCAAAGATCCCTTGGTGGGTAAAATCAATAAGAGTAGGCTTAGGCCGCCATCCGCGCAAAAATTAAAATTTCCTATCTACTGAAAAGGTTTAGTGTGTCCCACGTGCTCATATGACCTATTGCAGTGGTTAGCGCCGTAAAACACTTACCCCCCCCCCCCAAAAAAAAAAGAGTTAAATAGATAAAAATTAGATCTAAGCTTAATTACACGCTGCGGAAACATGAAAATGTCTTTTCGTTGCTGTGCATCTGTAGAAATTTAACTTTATCTGAAACTTTTTAAAAAGGCACAGAACAACATGTATACCTTTTGTACTTTGAAATATGTAATTTCTTTTTTTTTTCTGATTTGTATATTGGTGGTTTGAAATGAGTAGTAACTTTGACCTTGGTCTGCTGTTGTTGAGACATTCTTCTTCTTCTCCTTCTCCTTCTCCTTCTCCTTCTTCTTCTTCTTCTTCTTCTTCTTCTTCTTCTTCTTCTTCTTCTTCTTCT